TCTCTCCTTACCGGGGACTCCATCTGCTTAATGACCCACGATTCTCACTAAACAGCAGCAGCTAGGAGTGCTGCAATTGTAGTAACTAAGCAAAGCATTCATGTAATAATTTGTTTAATGACTGCATCATTTAGTGACCTAAATTCTGGTCCCAATTATGGCTGGATAGCGAGGACTACCTGTATTCTTGGGATATTCATCAGATAAGATTAGGGTTGGAGAAAAAAGGCATTTAATCTGCATTTTAATGCAAACCACCCTAATTTGCAGCCTCTTATACATGTTAATATTTATCTTCTGAGTTCTAAATGCAGAGCTTGTGGAAAGGTATATTGAAATATGCAAGTCTGACTGAAATTGGCATACCAAAATGCCTCCCAAACAAAAGGTATATTAGGAAAAAAATGATCGCTGAAATGTACACAATTTGTACAAATAGAAACATTCGCAAACTAGTGCAGAATTTGGAAGAAATGGATTTTAGACTGGAAAAATGGGAAGGGAGGGAAAGAAAGGGGGCCTGAGAGACTATTTTAGTTAGGCTATTATTCTCCTTCTCTCCTTATTTCAACAGCAGTGGTATAAGGCAGATTTTCAAACTGCAAATACCCAAATTATCTCTTCACTTGACGCCTTGGACAATTTTGATTCCATTGCAGTGAAAAGCAGGCAGAGCAACCTTTCAAATAACCTCCACCCCTATCACAAATAGTGGGGGGAATAAAATGGGAGCCTGGTCTTCTGCGGCCATTTCCAGGATCCTGCCTGGGGCAAAGAATCCCTTCTCTCAGTATGGTAGCACTCACTGATTTGTAAGACCAAAAGCGGTGCTTTTTGAGACATGGCTTTTTCCCCTGAACAATTTGAAGAGGCTATCCTGTCATAAAAGCAATATGATATCCTGGCATAGAATATTTTTAGAGATAGTCCTTCTATGCATCTGGCAGCCCTTCTCTTTTTAAGTTAATTTGGCTTGCCAGAATGGCTTATAGCAGTGTTTCTCAATCTCAGCAGTTTTAAGACATGTGGACTTCAACTCCCAGAATTCCCTAGCCAGCAGCTGGCTGGGGAATTCTGGGAGTTGAAGACCACACATCTTAAAGTTGCTGAGGTTGAAAAACACTGGCTTATAGGTTAATATTCAGACCTTTCCTAGAATTGTAATATTTGTATTTGCTTTGATTCTGAAAGCCTTTTGTTACAGGCTTGGGAAATGAGGCAATATAGCATCAAGTTCCTCAGTGGATGGTCCTGTAGCGTTAGCTAAATCAGGCAACAACCAGTTCTGACAATCATTCATGATGTTAGCCCTTCAAAATGAGAAACATCAACATCATTAATAATCAGGACATACGAACACATCTTCAAAAAGCTGCACAATTTCAACAAGGGTTAAAAAAATGCAACAGATTGCAACAATGCTAATAAGACAGGGAGATTCTTAAGCTTTGCGGTGCCACGAATCACCAACATTTCAAATTCGGATTTCAGATTCACCTTTTTCATCACTGTGTTACCACAAATTCAGGTATCTGCTCTAAATACTACAATTTAACTAAAACCCTTGAGAAATGCAGTGGTTTGGGAAACCCGAACCTCTTAGAAAAAAAAAAATACAAATAAAGAATTCCTTTTGAGCTGGATGGCATGTTTTGATAAGACTTTTTTCCCTTACTGTATTTAACTACCCCCTACTGTTAATATTAATGATAAGTTACACAGTTAAAGCAATTTTAAAGGCCTTACTCCTTATGAAGTGTTAACTGCAGTCCAAAACTCACTTGCCACACTACTGTTTCAAACTGGCTTGATGTAATATATTTCACGCCCAGAGTCCTACTGAACATACATAAACATTTGGGAGAAATGTTCCCCCACAAACCACAATTATGCACATCAGGTTCAATGAAAAAGAAATCAGTAGAAGTTAGATCCTTTATTAGATGCTTAATTCCCAGTATTTTCAATACAATCAGTGCTAAGATGCCAACTCAATTATTTCCTATTCTGCCCGGGCCAGCAAGCTGTTGGAAAGCCTGAAGCAGAGCCTTGTCTGAGCACTGACTTTGTCTTTGCAGACAACTCCGATCCCTGCCTCCAGGTTTTATTAGTAATAATAAAAATAGGGGGGCTGTTTTGAAGTGTGTTGCTTGGAGACCAGATCCTCAGTCACAAATGCAGCAGGTAGCCACTCTTGTATTTATCATCCCTGTCAAATTAAAAAAGATTGACAACACTCCTCTTTTTAATAACCTTTTTGGGGTGATTATTAAGGAACAGGGTATCCCATGAGAAAGCCACACAGCTGACAATAGCTTCAAGTACAGAAGCTTTGTGCAAGGTTCATTTTTGACTGTATTTACTTCTTAGAGATAAGGGGTAGCTAAGACCCATTCAAGAAAAGTCATGAGGCTGGAACTTCCAGGGGAGTTATGGCGAACTGAAAACGGCTCTGTGAAAGCAGAGCTGACAACTGCAGCAAAGACGATGGAACCGGTGAGTAGACTGGTTCCTTGGAACTTCTCCGGACAAGGAAAGGCTGGGAGATTGTCCACATTTGCTCCAGATGGTTGCTCCTTGCGACGAGGCCACAGGACAGCAGTCTCCCACAGGTCTGAGCACCAGGAGATGACAGGATCAACCCTCTTGCTTGCAACTGCAGCAGAGACTTTTAAAGAACATTAAGTGTTCAAACCTCACTTTCTAATCACTTTTGGAAATTGCCTATTAACTATTCTAAAGCTATTAGAGACCTTCAGAATGACAGGTTTGAAAAGTCTTCATCGG